GTGCCCTTACGCATGCGAAAGTTTCGCAGCCACTGCAAATCGTCCCACACCTGCAACACTATGTGGTCCCACCAGTCTGTGCTTGTTTCCCGGGCCCAGAATTGGCGTTCCATGGATAGAACCTGCCCCATTAACAACATGATCTCCAAAGCACCGGGGCCCATGGTTTGAGAGAATTCTGTGTCCATGTCCGTGTCCTCATCACGCTTGTCGCTGTGCTGCTGTTGCCGCCTCCTCCTCGCCTCGTTTTTCTGGTCCTGGCTCAGCATAAACTGCACGAGAACGCGTGAGGTGTTTACAATGTTCATGACTGCTGTCTTGAGCTGAACGGGCTCCATGCTTGCCGTGGTATGGAGTCTGCAGTTTTCACTCAGGAAAAAAGGCGTGAAATGGTTGTCTGCCGTTGCTTTCATGGAGGGAGGGGTGAGGCTGTACCCAGAACCACCTGCGACAATGTTTTTTGCCCCATCAGGCACTGGGATCTCAACCTAGAATTCCAATGGGCGGGGGAGACTGCGGGAACTATGGGATAGCTATGGGATAACTACCCACAGTGCAACGCTCCGGAAATCGACGCTAGCCCCGGTACATGGACGCACACCGCCGAATTAATGTGCTTAGTGTGGCTGTATACATTCGACTTTATACAATCTGTTTCCAAAATTCGAATTATATAAATTCGGATTAATCCCATAGTATAGACATACCCTTAGTCTCTAAGGTGCCACAAGTACTCCCGTTCTTTTTGCAGATACAGACTAACACGGCTGCTACTTTGAAACCTGCTTTAGACAAGGATTTTAGCCGGTTAGAGTTAACTTTGGACTCTAAGAAACATGTATCCCTTTTGTTTTACATGTAACTTGTTGTCCTTGCTCACTATGTCTTACATCTTAGTCTTTGTAAATAAACATATTTGTTTCACTACAAGTAGATTCCAGTGCTGTGTTTTTGTAAGGGACCTTATCCTGAGTTGTGTCAGTCAACCAGAGACAATGTATTTCTGGGAGTGTCCAATGACAGGGGATGGATACTACAGAGTGGGACGCTGGCAGAGGGAGGGACGTGGGAGATGGTGTCCCTCTGTCACTAGCCTGCACAAGAGAGGGTGAGGTCTGTGGAGACCTGGAAGTCAATGCTTGTCTGTTGCCCGAGGCTGTTGGTTTCAAGGGGCTGAGCTACAGCAGGCATCAGGCAAGATAGCTTCACACTAAGGACAGTTGTGGTGAGGTGCCTCACAACCCTGAGTACCACTGGGGAGCATCACAGTGCTACCTTTGTTCGAAAGCTATTCTATTCTTTATGTCTGCCATCTCTGACAAATTAAATAAACAAAACAAACCACACACCCCAAAGCACAGAGCAGCATGAATTTTGCTAATTGTCTACTCTCATGTTTTCCATCCCCTTCTTTTGACTCATTTCTCTATTGTCTATCCATGAATCCCTTACTCCCATTTTCTGACTCTTACCCCCTCCCTAATCTTTTTAACCTCTCTTTTTTTCTTTGGTCTCTCCTGACTGGTTTATTCCATTGAATTGTCTGCAAAAAGGGATGCAGAGTGAAACTTAACAATGATGTCGTGTTGTAAGTTTAAACCCAAAAATACCAGAGTGAAGAGAGAAAGATAGTTTAGTAAAATTTACACTGTGGTTTGAAAAGGGCACAGATATTAATGGAGTGGAATTGTAAGGACATGCTGACAGGGCACTAAACTGCAAGGTCAAAGTCTCAGATGTGGGATAGCACTCTCTCTACCAGCACCTGGCAGACCATTAGAATGAGGAAATTTAAGTCACACTGCATAATATGCCACCGAAAGGCAGCGATCAAAGAAAATGATAATTCAACTAGAGAGTCAAACATGACACTATGATGACTGGCACTACTAGTCTGTTTTATTTTGTTTTGTTTTTGGACAGATGAAGATTTTTTGGGCAATTCAAAATAAAAGCTGAAATTGGCTATATCATGCCTTTCCTCATACAATGGATTGTCTGGATTACTCTGGGTGAGAAAAATGGCTTGGGGTTAAAAATACTTGATGCAAATGACACTTGCTTTTATTAGTTATATACTCAGAGAACAGTCAAGATTTGTATGTATTATTGTAATTTCATACAGCTGTATCAGCCATGCCTGCACTAGGTACTTTAAACTGAAACTGCCATCACTGAGGCATGCCTGGAAATAAGAGATACAGTTTCTTCATGTTGGGTCAAGATCCCTGTGTACATTTTTCTGATTATGGATCAAGTCCATGATGTCTTCCACCATTATGTTTATAAGTGCAAAAGATATCAAAAACTGCATTTACAGATGATGTAAGAGCAAATGGCTGTGCAATTAAAGGAAACAGATGCAGTGTCTGCATTTCTTATGGTCAATCAGCCTTGAACAACTGAAAATGGGGATGAAACCTTCTAAATTGTAATTAGAATGTTAAGTGACACAGACTCATGTCTGGTGGATTTGCACCTCATCTAGCAGACAGGTGTAGCCAGCTTCATACAGGGAGTTGTCTGGATACAAGAGCAATCCTGGAGTAGCTCTTCTTAGAGAATGCTCTCTGCTAGGCTGAGGTTGTGTTTCCGAGTGGCAGCATTCTAAGTTTGATCCTGTCTGGAACTGTGGAGTTCTAATTTTCTGCTACTAATGGGGAGCTGAAGCATACATGAAAGGTTAAGAGGAAACCACAGATTTACTGGAAGAAGTGTGAGGAGGCATGCAAAAGTAGCCAATTCCTGAAATCAGTGAAAGCCTGGAGTCCTCCTGATCAGAGTCGTTCCCAGCTCAGCACGGGTCCCCACAGTCTGGTAGGGGATTAAGCCTCAGAGAGGGAAAAGGGGTAAATAGTTTTTTTATCTCTGCCTTGAAAAACTTCTGCTATCCAATACATCAGTGGTCTCCAAACTTTTTTGAAGCAAAAAAAAAAAAAGCACTCCTCCTGCCACGCCCCCCCAAGGATCCTCTTGTGCGCACCCCACTTTGGAGACCACTGCAATACATCATCACTTTGTAGTAGTCAAGTAAGTTACAGCTAAGATACTAAATTCATCAAAATGAGTGGCTGAACAGATTCCTCGCCAGTGGTTTTTAATAATATTTCTCTATTTTCTATGCTGTATGAAACATTACCAACCTTTGACAGTAGGAGGAGCAAGGACCAAACAAATGCCTGAACATCCAAGAACTTTACTTAATGGAGAAATGCAGGTTAAAATCAGATTTTAAGGGGAAACAGAATCAGTACAAAAAATTTTAATGTTCTACAGTATCTTTTGGTTCTATACAATACCCCCACACCAGGATATGTTTAAGTCTTTATTATTGTTTGTTTAGCACCAACAATGGGTGCAAGACTGCATGATGTGTAAAAAAACCAATCCTTGTGCAGCCCACAGTTCAGTGTGCATTGTGTCCCTCTTCGTGCCAGATTCATAGAGGATATGAACCTGCTACAACTGTAGTTTTGTGTTTTAATTCTGGGGGTCCTGGGTTCAGTTCCAAGATGACTCTTGAGCCTGAGACCTCGTCTTTAACTGAAGTGGGAGGAGGAAGGAGGTGGTATAGCCCTCACTAGAGGCCTTTGGAAACATTATGCTGGCAGGAACCAGGAGAAGTAATAAATGGATCATACTACACCAGGGGCACGGGGAAAAAATGATCTCAGTGGTGGTTCCCCCAATACCCATATAACAAATGTAGCCTATGCTTCAAACCACACAGCCCCACAATCAATAGGCAGTGCATGGGTTTCAGGTCTATGGTCACACCCAGATACTCCCAATCAAGAGTGGTGTTTTGCTTGCCAAAAGTGGTAGCTGCCTGGTCTCCACTTCTTTACACTACCAGTACAGGAGTTCTAAGAGGGTCAAAAGAGGTCTCTCCTTCCTGAGTGTACCTGTACTGAAGCAGCCATAGCTGATTTGAAACAACTTGCATCCTACTTAACATTAAATTTGTGTAACTTTTAACATATTCATGACACACATATAATCTCCCTTCAGTTTCTTTAAACTTCGGTTCAGTACTCTAATCTATTTGCATGCTCTCCGTGGTGTCCTAGATTTTCTGATGAAGATCCAGATCAATTTACAATGGCAACAGCAAGTTTCCCTGCATCAAATCAACATTTTGTACTTCCAGATGTCAGCGGTCCACTGCAGAAGATTATGTCATTAATTAGCTCTTAGCCCTGGCTAGTTTCTCTTTTACAACTTTACTTTTATTCACTGTCATATCACTCCGCGGAAAATATAGCCATCATGCAGACCACAGGACCAAAGAAATCTTTAACCATGTTGTTAACTGACTTAAGAGGGTCAACAGTAAAAGCCTGATTGCTCTATCTGGTGATCAGGATGAACTATTTTAAAAAATCTATTGTGTTTTTACAGTTTAACTGTTATTAGCTGACATTGCTGCCTGTTGGGCAGCTTCATCCTTCAATCAGATTTCTACTAATATTGATATGGGACTTCCTGTATAAGACCACATCATCTGTGTCCCTTCTGCTGTTCTGGACCAACAACAAAGCCATGTCAGCACTTTGGCCCAGGTACCATCTGAGATTGAAGGATTCTGAACTTCCTTCCTATCTTTAATCATCAAAGGGAACCAAATGATTTTTGCATTAGGCATTGGACTTTTATGTCACAGAGGTCATTGCCAGGGATTGCTATGGAGGAGTTCAAGTACCCTGAAACATGAGCAAATCACAATATGACGTGTTTTATAGGAGCTGGCTTACAAGAATGCTGATCAACAGAAGAACTAAGGATTTTTCACCTTGTATTAGTTAGGCCTCTCCAATAACTTCAAAGTTTATCAGAGTGGAAAATGGGAACTAAAAATATCAGTATTGATGTACAGTAGTACTTAAATACATCTCATTCAAATATAGCCTGTTCTTAGATCTATGCAGTTTTCAATCTTACTGATTGCATACATACATACATACAGGTATAGAGAAAAACATAAAAAAGCCTCAACTTACCATGACCTGGTGAAAAAACATCATCCAGAGAATTTAGACATAACACTGGAATTCCTATTGACTTCAGCTTGCGACATGGACTAGCATCTACATAGTAATCATCAAGTGTACGGTAGCCAAACATGACTGAGGTGAATTGCTTATCAAACTCCCTAATGGTTTTAGCCTGAAGTAGAGAATTCAAATCAGGAACAACATCAGTATTTGGAAACCAAACCATGAAATCAAAAAAGAAAAGATTTATCCATATACCTTCATGACAAGATTCAGATCAAATAATTTCTCTAACGTTTGTCGATGTCTGGAAAAAAATGAGGGGAGGGGAAGAAAAAATGATTTTACAGATGTAGAAGTTGTCTGTCTTACAAATACATACTCAGAAATAAATATCATCATAGAGTAAGAACACATTTGTTTTATTTCTCAGACTTATAAATCCATCTGTCCAGGACACTAAGCAATGTGCACTTACTTACAAATACAACCAGAAACTAGGGCTGTCAATTAATCGCAGTTAACTCACGCAATTAACTAAAAAAAAGTAATCGCGATTAAAAAAATTAATTGCGATTAATCGCAGTTTTAATCGCACTGTTAAATAATAGAATACCAATTGAAATTTATTAAATATTTTGGATGTTTTTCTACATTTTCAAATATTTGATTTCAACACAGAATACAAAGTGTATAGTGCTCACTTTATATTATTTGTATTACAAATATTTGCACTGTAAAAATTATAAACAAAAGAAATAATATTTTTCAATTCATCTCATACAAGTACTGTAGTGCAATCTTTTTATCAGGAAAGTGCAACTTACAACTGTAGATTTTTTGTTACATAACTGCACTCAAAAACAAAATGTAAAACTTCAGAGCCTACTCAAGTCCACTCAGTCCGACTTCTTGTTCAGCCAATCACTAAGAAAAACAAGTTTGTTTACATTTATGGGAGATAATGCTGCCCGCTTCTTATTTATGTCACCAGAAAATGAGAACAGGTGTTCGCATGGCACCCCAGCATTGCTATGTATTTACATGCCAGGTATATTAAACATTCGTATACCCCTTCATGCTTTGGTCACCATTCCAGAGGACATGCTTCCATGCTGATGATGCTCGTTAAAAAAATAATGCATTAACTGAATTTGTGACTGAACTCCTTGGGGGAGAATTGTATGTCTCCTGTTCTGTTTTACCTGCATTCTGCCATATATTTCGTGTTATGGCAATCTCAGATGATGACCCAGTCCATGTTGTTCATTTTAAGAACACTTTCACTGCAGTTTTGACAAAACACAAAGAAGGTACCTATGTGAGATTTCTAAAAGGAGCTACAGCACTCAACCCAAGGTTTCAGAATCTGAAGTGCCTTTCAAAATCTGAAAGGGAAGAGGTATAGAGCATGTTTTCAGAAGTCTTAAAAGAGCAACAGTCCAATGTGGAAACTACAGAACTTGAACAATCAAAAAAGAAAATCAGCATTCTTGGTGGCATCCAGGGCCGTAGCAACAAAGAACGTGGCCCCCTCCGAACGGTGGCCCCCTCCGAACGGTGGCCCCCTCCGAACATATGTCCGGGCGGGGACCCTTACAATGCAGAAACTGGAATGCGGTATTTATTTTGCCACTTTTAGGGGCCCCCTTCCTTGCGGGGCCCCCTCCGGTCGGAGGGTACGGGAGGGCGCTCGCTATGCATCTGGTGGCATCTGACTCAGATGATGAAAATGAACATGCATCAGTCTGCACTGCTTTGGATTGTTATCGAGCAGAGCCCATCATCAGCATGGAAGCATGTCCTCTGGAACAGTAGGTAAAGCATGAAGGCACTTAAATATCTTGTGACGCCGGCTACGACAGTGCCATGCAAACACCAGTTCTCACTTTCAGGTGACATTGTAAACAAGAAGCGGGCAGCATTAGCTCCTACAAATGTAAACAAAATTGTTTGAGCAATTGGCTGAACAAGAAGTAGGACTGAGTTAACTTGTAGGCTCTAAAGTTTTACATTGTTTTATTTTTGAGTGCAGTTATTTTTTGTACATAACTCTACATTTGTAAGTTCAATTTTCATAATAAAAGGATTGCACTATAGTACTTGGATTAGGTGAATTGAAAAATACTATTTTTTTTACAGTGGAAATATTTGTAATAAAAAATAAATATAAAGTGAGAACTATACACTTTGTATTCTGTGTTCTAACTGAAATCAATATATTTGAAAATGTAGAAAACATCCAAAATATTTAAATAAATGGTAGTCTATTATTGTTTAACAGAGCGATTAATCACAATTATTTTTTTAATCGCACGATTAATCTCGATTAATTTTTTTAATCACTTGACAGCCCTACCAGAAACATGGATGAAATCTGCATTAGTCATTAGAAAGCTGACAAGGATAAAAAGGAGAACTTTGATTTTAGGAACAAAAAAATCATTTCTTTAAGACTACGTGTGAGCAACCCTTTCCCCTCCTTTTTGTTTTCAGAGTTGATTTTTTTTAACAAATTCATATCTATGTAGCTATCAAGATAAATGTGTTAATGTTGGTTAGTTTATAAAGAAAATCAAATTGGTGCCATCCATCCAAATCATGAGTAACCTTACGATAATCAATGTGTGCATGAGGTGAAATTCAGTCCCGTAAAAAGGGCCAGCACAAAGCCTACACACCATTTTAAGTCCCACTTCAGATTTATTTTGAAGACTGCAATGGTACATAAGCTAGCTCTCTGTACAAGAGTGAATTCCACCCATGAAGAAAATCTTTCAAGCAAGGAGACATTTCCATTTCAGAATTTCCTGAGATTACACAAACAAAGGAAAGCATTGTGTGAAATGCAGTAATAGCATTCCTTTTCCAGGAGGCCATATATCTGGCTTATATTCTATACTAACATCTTCAACCTTTCTAAATATTTCAGAAGGTGACTCACCTACTAATAGAGGACTGTAAACAAGTAGTCAAGTAGTAGTTAAAGAGAAGCCAATTTAGTGGTTTCTCCAATGATTCTGCAGACTCAAAAACATTCCAACCCGCCGAGAAAATTGCAGCTGCCATCAAAGGGGTTTCTCGGCCAGTTTGGCCCAGGTAATTTAAAAGAAGCATGCTACAAAGAAGAATAAAAATAAAACAAATCAAATTGTCAGATCACTCATTTAAATATAATCACATGTATAACAATCTGCCAACTTTAAGCCTATTCTATTGTAAATGGGTTCTTGCACCACCCTCATCACCATGGTATCTGCCTTCCAATAGTGCCTTAAGTGATGTTACTAACATCTGTTACGTGTTTCATTTTCTCTCTCATCCTGTCCCCAGGACGAGGGTATGCAGAGTTGTGTTTTGTTTTTTGTTTTTTTGGGGGGGGAAGGTATTTTTAATACGTACACACTGCTAATTGTTTACATTAGAAAAGGCAAGGTCAATTCAGTGTGCCTTGCTCTTGGAACAGAAAGCTTTGCTCTTGGAGCAGAAAGTGCTAGGTCTTACAATATTTCATTTTTCTTAAAACTCTTGAAAACTGCAATCTACCCAGTGAGACATGTGTGGGCTGATGACAGTATTTGGGAATTTTAGCCTCCACCATTGCATCACACTTGGGAGCATATATGGTGGGCACAGCTCTTGAATATAAAGGAGATGATGAGTTATTTAAAATTAGGAAAAAATATAGCCCAGACCCCCGACCTAATTAAAGTCTTGCCTTCCTGACTACTGCTACTTAAAGTCTCCATTGCTGCTGTATGCCTGAGATGAAGGAGAGCTCACAGAATCCTGCCACTCCAGATGCAGAAAGATTAAAAATAAATCAGGAGGATGGGTAGGATAGTACAGGAGAAAAACAGAAGATGGCCTGAAAGCTAGAAGGTCAAAAGTTTCACATTCCTTTGCTGTCTAAGGGCAGGTTGTGGCCCATCCTGCCTGCTTTCACAGGGGACTATTGGAGTATAAGGCATCCCCTTCCTCCCCTGCACCAGCTAGTGATGGGTACCAGTGCAGAAGAGAGAACAGTCTCCAGAGGCTGGTACATCCCAACCCTACACATGTTGGCAGGGAGCAAACAGGAAAGACTGAGGAACAAGCAACATGCTGGCACAGCTGTACTGTCCGGCATACCAGGGGATGTAAGCTGTGACTGGGATAAAGCTGATACAGGGTTTGTATCCCCACATCCTTGAAGCAGTGGGACACTGGGAGGCAACACAGCTACATGCTGCCCCATACACAGAGCTTATGAAAAATCCACAATTGATTTCTAAGCCAGTAAAAATGTTGATGTGGTAGAACAAGCCACAAATGGAAGCTGGACAATATATGTGGTGAGAAAGATATTGAGAAGCTTCATGCTACAGAAGCAGTGCCCCTTCCAAAACAGTACAGACCGAAAGGCAAAGAGAAGTGTACTTTAATTTAAATGTACATCACAGGGAAGTAAAGTCAATGTTTTATTTCCTTCTTAATCAGCCAAAATTAAGTTTCTTCTAGCCCTGCAATCTTCTTATGAAATATTGTGGGTCGTGTTGCATTTTTAAAAATGTCTGTCAGGATTCTACTTGTATTTTGTTTTTGATTTAGAAAGTTTTTGAAATTATTGAAGAAATAATTTAAAAAGTACTTTAAGATGAGGATTTTGAATAGTTGCATCTTATAAGGTCCTGATACTGCAAAGACCTACGTATGTGCTTAGCTTTAAGCAGATAAGTAGTCCCATTCACTACAAAGATGCTTAAGTTTAAGCATGTGAGTAATCCCAATGTAGTCAATTTGGGACTACTCAGTTGCTTAAAATTAATCATGTGCATAAATCTTTGCAAGATCAGAGCCTAAAGGAGAAGGTAACAAGACAAAATAGAGCATGAATCTATTATATGATTCAAACATAAAAGACACAATGAAAACCAGTTAAGATTACTAAGGAACAATGGCAAACTTAAAACCACAACAACCCCAGGGAATGCAGAGTAAATCCATATACATACATTCATCACCGTCTCACATATGCAAACCAACAGACAGTCACAAACACAGATTGGTGGTTCCCCTTCCAAATCGAACCTATTCAACCACAATCAACCAGGTTACACCCACCCACCTCGATTCTGCCATTTGCGATAATCTATGGGGAAAAAGTGTATGTTTCCTACATATGCAACAAGACAAATCCAATACACATGCAAATGACACATTCCCAAACAAACTTCAGTGGTACAATGAAATTATGCATAGCAAAATATTGATAGTTCACCATTCTAATTAGGGTGACCAGACATCAAATGTGAAAAATCGGGATAGGGGTTGGGGGTAATAGGAGCCTATATAAGAAAAAGACCCAAAAATCGGGACTGTCTCTATAAAATCGGGTCATCTGGTCACCCTAATTCTAATACTAAAAGCAAACAACTGGTTAAGGTGTCTAAAGGGGAACAGTGCCGGATTAAAAATCCAGAATTGGAAGGAAGTAAAGATTAGTCCCACAGGCACACCGAAGCAGGTAAATCCATTCCACAGAATTATTCATTATGCAACCAAATAAGCTACACTATGAAATGGGGAGTGCAGAAAAATCTCAGTCCTAGTTTTTTGTGATATTTCTTATTTTGTATTTATAACAATAACAACAAAAACCCTGCAATGGTCCAAATCTTGGTTCCATTGAAGGCAATAGCAAAACCCAATTGGATCAAGATTTGGGCCAATGGGGTTTAAAAGCTTCAAAGTTACTTATTTACCTCATTATCAATAACTGTGTCCACTGAACAAATCTGTAATTATCCAATAACTTGCAAAGGTCAGTATGGCTTAGTAGGTAAATGCCAGTACAGAGAGCCACATTGTACCCATCCTCAGCACAACCCATAAGAAAGGAACAGAGGGAGTAGGAATTTCAGCCTTGAACTCACAGAATTCCCAATGAAAATTTCCCCTCCCTGGAACTCCTTAATAAAGAGACTCTCTGGGTGTTTCCCTTCCTACCTTGCAGCACAATTTTCCAGGAAGTTGTGCTGGCACTGCACATTGTCCATTCTAACAGTGCTGTACTTCCCTTCTCTGGATAGGGGCCAGCACTGAGTGAGTGTTAATAATACTGCTTTTAGCAGCATTAACTCACTGGTTTTGTTTATTACTTCCTGCTTCTGAATCATACATCTCTGAAGCCCACCCTTCCTCTAACAAACCCTAACTATAAAGACAGGTTTCAGAGTAGCAGCCGTGTTAGTCTGTATCCGCAAAAAGAACAGGAGTACTTGTGGCACCTTAGAGACTAACAAATTTATTAGAGCATAAGCTTTCGTGGACTACAGCCACGAATGCTTATGCTGTAATAAATTTTTTAGTCTCTAAGGTGCCACAAGTACTCCTGTTCTTTCTCCTAACTATAAAGTGAGAAGCCCTGCTAGCGTGGAGTTAACTCCTAGGGCTTCCACAGACTGCTAGGCAGGGAAAGGAACATAATACATTGGCTCCACTTCCTCTATTTTTTGGCTCTATTTTATTTTTTATCTGCTTTCCTTCGTCCTTTAGAGCAAATGGAAGTAGAGTTGCTGTAATGAGGAAGTTTGGGACATTTTAATAAGTGCCTATGTACTCTGCAACAAGATGGACCAAAATTCTGCAACCAGCTTCTGGGGCACACTCAGGGCTTGTCTACATTACCCTCAGGATCCACGCACACCGATCGATCCAGCGGGGTTTGATTTATCGCGTCTAGTGAAGATGCGATAAATTGACTGCCGAGCACTCTCCCATCGACTCCGGTACTCCACCGGAGAAAGAGGCGCAGGTGGAGTTGACGGGGGAGCGCAGCAATTGACTCACTGCAGTGAAGACACCGCGGTGAGTAGATCTAAGTACGTCAATTTCAGCTACGTTATTCACGTAGACCAGGCCTCAGAGAAAATAGGCAGTACTTTACAACAAACTTTTAAACAGAGGCTTTATTTAATTAGATCTGATGCTGAAGAATGAAATCAGCATGGGAGCCCCACTGTTATTTATTTTAATATCACCTTCAGTTTATTTTACATTTCCTCACACTTTCAGTTTTTCTACAGACCAATGCGTAACTGTATGGTGGCAGTTGTCAAGGAGAAGCCGGAGTTTTGACAGCTCAGTACTTTTGGCATCTGGGGAGGTGCAGTTCCACTGGGGGGAGGGATAGCTCAGTGGTTTGAGCATTGGCCTGCTAAACCCAGGGTTGTGAGTTCAATCCTTGAGGGGGCCACTTAAGGATCTGGGGCAAAATCAGTACTTGGTCCTGCTAGTGAAGGCAGAGGGCTGGACTCGATGACTTTTCAAGGTCCCTTCCAGTTCTAGGAGATAGGATATCTCCATTAATTTAATTTGGAATTGTGCAATAAGCACATTGGGCCTGATCCACAAACCATTGAAGTAAGCAGAAAGATTTCCTTTGATTTCAATGGGCTTTGGATCAGGCCTACTAGTTGGATGTTTATGCTAAAATGATCAGCAGTGAAATAGTTAATAATAAGAGACTTGTATTGTCCTGTTTAGGTTTCATAATTAATAATCCAGTGTGATGAATGAACACTTCACACCTCTCAGAGCTACTGTTTCAGGCTGTCTGCAAACACAGAAAGATATCATTAAATTGGTTATATTCAATTCACATTTTAAAGATTTTCAGTGCAATCATGGGCTTGTCTAGACAAATATAAAATATATTTGTAAAGGTGCTAGTTAACATGCTAGCACATTTGAAAATCATAGTGTAGACAGGTCAAATCATTGTTAACATCTTAGCTAGTCAAAGTGAACTTGAGGCTTCCCTTTATCTATACTAGCAATGAGAATTAAAACTGCAACTTGCCCTGTCTATCCTGAGGTTTTAAAATGTGTTAGTTAAAGATAGTTTTCAAAACAAAGCTTTTATCTTATTCTAGACAAGCCTCATGAAGTATAGGAACACTATTTTTTAAAAAGTGAAATAATGGATTTTAGAGCACAATTTTATAACCAGGGTAAATTCCATGGCAAATTCCACAATCACAAAACAATTAATGGAGACCTGCCTATATGGATAAAAGTTCAATTTTACACCCATAGGTTTCAAATAAGATTTAATACATTTGCAAAACCTATATGTGGGGGCTGAGAAATGAAATTCAGCCATGTAGATGAGCACCCATCCCATTGAATCATGCAACCTGCTGAACAGAACCCTTAATTAGGATCTTTGTTGATTTTTGTAACTGTATTAACTATTTTAACTCCATTTCACTCCAGAAAACATTACACTGCACTAAACTACAGCCAAACAGCAGCACTCTAGTTCATGATTGGTAAACTAAAATAAAGGGATTTCTGTTATATAAATTCTTACCCTCCCATAGAAACACCTGCTGCCATAAATGGAGCTGAGGCATGCATGTTGTGTATATGATGAATAACAGCTTCCAAATCCTCTGTGTTAGCAGCACAGTAAGTCCTTGGTGTCTGTAACGAGCCACAAGGAAAAACACTAGCATAAGCATTTGCATCATCCTTAAGGACAAACCAAAGAGGAAGCTGAACATGACAAACTTAACATTTCTCATCAAACTACAATAAGATGAGCCTACATAATTTTGGGAAAGTAGTGGCAGTAGGAGTCATATTTTTGAGCACAACTAACAGCTCAGAGGTATGCTCAATATCTGCAACCGTCCAAAAATTAACTGGCCAAATTCTGGACATAGAGTCTATGGCTGAAATTTGTTCAAAAATTGATAGGCATCATTGCTAGTTAAAAATCTATGAGGAAGTAAAGCACATCATGAAGACTGCAATGTGTAGAAAGGAGAGTGGCCTACAAAAACTCTCTAAAATGTGTGTGATGCCCATTTCTTCATCTTAATCCACATTTAAATGTGCTAGCAAATATTCAGTAGAATTAAATTTACGTATAGACATTTTTAAAAAACTAGTCAATATATAGGTACTACAAAAAATCTTGTTTAAAATAGCTTTAGTACTAATGCTATTAAAATCTCTTTCAGACTAGGCTGTCCCTTTGAGCATTTTCCAATTCTAATTTAGGGCAGAGGATACCCTGAAGAAAGCATATAACTTCTGATATCTTAGTTTGTTGCAGAAGTTTAAAATGCAAAAATATTTAAAGCTGGTTACACTGAAAGGCATCCAAACAAGAGATCTGTTCATTAAAGCTCTGATTTAGGAAAGCACTTCTGGAAGTGTGTTCTCCATTCCTGTTCAGGACAACACTTAAACACTAGCTAACTTTAAGCATCTTTTCAAGTTCTGAATAGGAATCCGTTCCTAATCTGGGGCCTGGAATGGCTTCCACTGCCTTCAACGAGAGTTTCACCTGGTCCTTATTGTCCCATCTCCCCTCGACTTACCCAAAGAATAAACAAGACTTTATAGTTTTACCTGCCCAGGTTGTGGAAGGCAGTACAAGTGGAGGCATCTATCCTCAGGCACAATAAGAACCCAATAAAATAGCCTCCCCCCCCCCCCCACCCATCAAGTTGTAACCTGTGCATTTCACATATGCCAAAACAAAGATTTTTTTAACTGTATATTTGTTATTAAAGATGCCAGGGGAAAATCCTGACCCCACTGAGGCCAGTGACAAAACTGCTCTTGACTTCAACAGGATCAGGATTTCACCTCAGGTATTTAAAATATCATACAAAATGTTTTAGTTTTGCTCATTCAGAATCTCATGAACCTGAGGCAACAATGTATTTTCAGCATTTTTTTTTAACTGCTTGCAATTAAACAGCCTGGAAATTTATGGCTGGTTTTAACATGTTTAATTAGACAAAATTAATTAATTTAAATTTACCTAACAAGAATATAAAAATAGTAATGTTAAAAATAAAATACAAAAGGGGGGGGAAAGCTGGGACTGGGATAATTAAAACAACATGAGTTACCACTTACTTTTATTACAACTAATTAATTATAAACTGAGTGTGAATGTATTTTATTTCAATTAAATAGGTAAGTCTGCAGAGAGAAAAGTAAATTATTTTCATTAAGGAGAGTAAAATGTTTTTCATAAGAAAGTATGCGTGACTTAAATACTGTAAAAACAGAGAGATATTGGGCATATATTACATTTAATTCCTGTAACCCTAGTGCATTTCCATGTGCTGTATATGGATATTTTAAAACAATAAAATAAATGCATCTGTTGCTTTTTCAGCTGAAATGCCTGTGCTCATCTAACGTAATAATTTCCAAACAGTAATTTAATCTAGCAGATTAACATTCAACAGAACACCAAAGATAGTACAGTATTTTTTAAGTCCCGATCCCTTAAATAGGCATTGTTTAATGGAAATTTAAAGTTAAATCTCTCTCTAAAGACAAGAACACGAATTATTTTCATTAATACGTTTTATTATGTTGCCTGACTATGCTTCAGACTCATTACTTGGGGATTTTATATAAATATGTGGGGAAAAAAACCTGCAGAAAAAATGTTATAACTTCAGCTGTTTGAGTCCATAGTAAGATCTTATAAAATATGTTAAGCCGATTATACTGAAATAAACACAAAGCATTGAAACAAGAGATCTTTTCACTTACTGAATCTGAAATTCATCAACAAGGACTTTGTGTGTCACAAAACAGCTTTGTAGATACATCTCCAAAAGTATGCAGAAAAGTGACTCTTAACATGGCAGTGTTTTCACTGAAACATTTTAATGGGTTAAGAGAAAGCATAATGGGCATTTTTAAGTTGTTTTAAAAATCAGTGGATTAAAAAATGCAAACCACAACAATACTCAGCATTGTGCACACTCATAACAGCTGCAGAACTTGCCAACAAAATATATATGAAGAAACAAAGCTTATTCAGCAATATTTCAGCACATCTTGAGCCTAGCTGCAAAAAGAGCTTAGCTTTAAGATTTCAGTAATTTATCACTAGTTTCTAAAATAATATGCTGTGTAAATCCTGAAAACAACTTCCGCTAGTAGCTCATCTTGTATTGTAATTGTTGGGGAAAAAATGAAAGTAGGCTTATTTAAAAAAAAATCAAAAAACAAAATGTTTCAGATAAAACTGGTTCATTCATACAATAATGCATAATGGTGGGTCAGTTAATAATGGCAAAGTTTTTTAAAATTTTATCCAGGTCCAGTTAAAATTCATACAGACAATGTGGTTTGAAGTAACTGCCACTGCTTATTTCTGATTTATGTGTTAAAACATTAGAAAATATTGCAATGGATAAATTACAAATGTACATTTAGATACTATAGTATTGTTGGAGAAGAAAATACAAAAGCTATTAATTTTTGCTGGTAGAGATATTAAATTATTCAAATCTTTCTAAAATGAAATACATCAATGTAATACACTACATCTTTATTGTGCAGATTAGAGTACATTTATTTATTGCTGCAAAAATCATGTTATCCTCCAGAAAAGCAGCTATCACAAAGCATTTTTATTGATGACATCCAACCACCCAAAATTCAGAAAATGACAGTATGATTTCTGAACTTTAAATGTCTATGGTTTGCTATTTATCAAGAAACATGGAGCCCCTACAAGTAAAGTAGATGCCATATAAGAAATTAATAGCCTTTTTTAAAAGGTGAATATATGCCAGTTATAAAATCAAGAACTAAGGGCCTGACCCAAAACTCATAGAAGTCAACGGGAATCTTTCAATTGATTTCCAGGGCTTTTGATCTGGCCCTAACTGACCAACCACATTTTAGCATATTCCACTATAAGAACTGAGGTTAAAAATCAAAGATGGGTGCTATTCTAATCTGAATAAATATAATTAGAGATGTGCATTCAGTCAACTACAGGCTAGATTCTATTTGTTAGTTTGCCACATCAAGTGTAGTCATCTTAGATTAGAATCCAGCCCTAAGAATTAACACTGATAACTTCAATATGAGCTGTATATACAATGAAAGTTCTTATTTTTTTTAAAATTGATTCTTACCAAGAGAGTCTCACCAGCAGTTCCTCGGTTGTTAAAAACCACACATCTAAAAATTGAGAAGGTAAATCTGAATATATACATTGTTTATTGTATAGACGTGTACAAAAATCATCTTAGAATTACACTTTTATTTTTAAAGGTCATTTAAAAATAAAAATTTAATGAAAATACATAAAGAAATGTGTTCCAATAAGAAGTCTAAACTTATTTACTAAATATGTAAAATTCTTATCCTGCAATCTGACCTACTTGGATGGACCCTTACACCTTTTTTAAAGGGACAGTCCCGTTTTTTGGGACTTTTTCTTATATAAGAGCCTATTACCCTCTACCCCCATCCCGTTTTTTCACAGTTGCTCTCTGGTAACCCTACTTAAGCCTGCATAGAGATTCACTGAAGTCAGTTGGGTTGTTTATGGACACATGTCTGCCCATGAGGATCAAATTGCAGGATCAGAGTCAGTCTATATAATGCTTATTTGGTAGTAGACGTGAGCCAGAACCAAAACCATAGATCCAAACACCCCAGAGTTTTGTACAGGTTGTTAGGGAGGGGAGTTTTCAATCGGTGCAGCATGGACGTCTCTCTATTTGATCCTAGTGATAGTGGCAAAACTTTCTGGTAGTAAGAATTACTTTGATTTAAAGATCTTTAGTTTTCTTGATAAATCTTATTGTTTTATTTGTCCTCTCTACTCTACTCTAAAAACTTTTAGTTTTTTAAAAAGTTGATTAAATGCAAAAAAGATGGACTTGTTTTTCTTTTAATTCTAGAGATTTTATTGCTTAAAATGGATTAAAAACAAAACCACCAGATCTGTTGTGATCTGACCTAAACTTTTTTTTAAAAAAGCTATATTCTTCCACTCTTGGGAGCCCTGCTGTGTACACATTTGTCATGAATACATGACAAATGAATACATGAATACATATAAATACTTCTATTTAAAAAAAAAGGTACCCAAGTTTTAGGTTTTGGGGAGGGGGTTCCTAAGTTATTTTACATTTTTTTAAAAATCAATACAGGTATCTGAACCTCCATGTGGAGAATGAGTAGCCGAACATGAATGGTCATACCTGAGCATTTGCAGAAGTCAATATACTTAGTGCCAGAACTCAGTCTGCAGTGACAAAACTCAATAGTCTTGAAATAGGGATTCTGGAGTAATTGTAACGCCAACAGCCCCCAGTCATTGGCAGGCGGGATCGAACCTGAGACCTCTGGAGCCTAGTACATGAGCCTCTACAGCATGAGTTAAAAGCCAACTGCCTCTTAGCCAAGGCTGTAGAGCAAACTCATTAATCTCTCTCTCTTTTAAGTGGACTTAGTGCCACCAGATGGACAGAACAACACACCCAGAAGGTGTGTAGGTTACATAATCACAATGGTACACCAGGTTATTTCATCCTAAAGCAGAACAGCAGTGAAGTTATTGCACCTATGAGCCCTAGTTATGATCCAATTCACTTCCCTGATCCAACTCTTCCTCAAAGCCTGAATAAGCGGGCTATGGGCAGAACAGTCCATGGGTGACAGAATCTACCCCTTAACCATCAGTTTCAGGGCTGGAATGCTCTGCACACAGTAGATAAGGGCTTGATCACTGAATCAGTATGGATCCAGTAGCCCTTGACAGAGCTGGCACCTATATATATATATATATATATATATATAGAGAGAGAGAGAGAGAGAGAGAGACGACTA